TTTATTTCCTACCCGGACAATTTTAGGGGTCTACACTAGCGGAACTTGCCCTAATTTTTGCGCAGCCCCCTTAGTGAGTTTCCTACCAGGCTTTTGTCTTTGCAGCATTTGTGATTATTTTTCATTCCTTCATTGAAGGGGGATGCCCCTTGCACTGATTTCATTTGGACTTTTATCCACAAGTCATGCCTAATTTGCTTGATCTTTATGTGTTTTTTTTTATTGCGTATTAAGCCATTATTTCTAATGACGTCCTTATTTCAAATGTACTTGTTCATTTAAGGTTTGTTGACGAGGCTTAGAGTAGATAAGAGGAAGAAGAGAAACGAAGTAGAAAAATGTATGGCATTAAAATAGAATTTTTAATCTACACGTGCCCATTTAATGTAGCTTGAGGGCCCGGGCATGCCCCAAGTTCGTGATTTGTACACAAAGAAAAAGAAGGAGGTTGCCCCTTAGAGAGGCCTAAGTCATCTAACCGTAGAGTTAGTTCTCCACTTGCATGGATGTGGCGCTTCAGAAGATCTCGTGTATTGCTTTTTATTTTAAGCCTATGTCAAAAGGATAATGTATTGATTGTTTAAAAGATTAGGCTTGTATGTGTTTGTTTGTTATGTGTTAAAAATTAGTAATTAACATGAAGGTGAAAATATCATAATACTCATTTTTCTTATTTCATTCATTGTTGAGAACATGAAGTATTAATTTACTGAGTGTTTGAGACTTTAAATGAAAACTTGAAAACATCAGAAATTTTCTGAGTTAAGGAATAAATTACCTGAACTGGTAATAGATTACCTGACTCATGTTGAAAAACTGATTGATACTGGAATAATCGATTACCATGTGTGGTAATAGATTACCAAACTGATTCTGATGATTTCAAGAGGAAAAAGGATCGTGTTAATCGATTACCTCTTTAAAGTAATCGATTACCTCTGTTCCAAATGTGAGTTTTGTGTTATTTTGGCATCGTGTTAATCGATTACCATGTTAGGTAATAGATTAAAACAGGAGCTGAAACAATTAGTTCAGTTATTCTAACTCGTGGTAATAGATTACCATCACAGGTAATAGATTATCTCTGTTATGAATATAACTGAAATAACTGTTTCCTTGCACATGAAAATTGTCTTTAAATAAGATTAAAACTGAAG